CACTTGAAATCTTCAAGGCCAAAGTAGGAGATGAAGATTGAAAAACACATTACGCCGAGAAATGGAGACAGACATGTGAAGAATGAACAAAAGTTGGATAGAACTAGAAAAGAAAGCCCAGGACAGAGTGGGTTGGAGAATGCTGGTCGGCGGCCTATGCTCCATTGGGAGTAACAGGCGTAAGTATTGTCAGGTTTTAAGTAAGACAGTAAACCTAACTATATAATCTTTAACTTGGGAGATAATTTCAGCGATACGATGATTTTTTTGTGGAAATGTTTATAAGCTACTTTTACATAGATCTATATTAAGAAGAAATATTACATTGAAGAAAAAATGTGTGAAACCACGTGGTATAAATTAATTGATACTTCTAATAGTACAACAATAAACTATGGAGATAGTGTTGAATATATAGTGGAATAAGTGCTTAGTCGATACACGTATATACACTTACACCATGCCTGTTAAGTTTGATTAATTTAAATAATATCTAAATAGACTCAAAGTTCTACAAATTGCTGGATCATTCACCACTGGGATTAAGAAACCAGAGCTATGTGTACAAAAGAAATATCTTCGACCGCTTCTCCTGACCTGATCAACCTCATGGCCAATCAATCAATAGTAATCTTAGCTACTGAATGACTTAATCTGGCTAACGTACTTATAGCCTTTCTTAGTCAAATTTAAATGTCTCTGATTTTTTTATTTAGGTATTTTTGTATTCTTAGTAGTGTCGTTATTATTACTGAGAAGGGGATTTGTGGAGATTTCAGTATTTTTCATAGTTGAAATCATGAGTCAATTGAGGCTAGACCACCATCAAAAACCCGGAAGCACCGGACGGCCGTTTCGTCCTATTATGGGACTCCTCAGCAGTGCGCATCCACGAACCCACTCTCGCGGGATTGGAACCCAGGACCTACCAGTTTCGAGTCGAAGCCCTTAAATTGGTTTTCGTGAATGGTCTCTCATAATTCGTGGATCGGTTGAAGTTAGACATTAACACTGTTGGATGACGACTCAGTGGTCTATCGGTTAAGGGCTTAGGCTCGAAGATGATAGGTCGTGGGTTCGAATCTGGCGAGTGCGGGATCGTGGATGCGCACTGCTGAGGAGTCCAAAAATAGAACGAAATGGCCGTCCAGTGCTTCCAGGTTTTCGATGGTGGTCTAGCTTCAATTGACTCATGATTTCAACTTTGAAAAATAAAGATTCACAGTTAAACGATTCAATTCAAAGAACACATCACCTCAAATGTCGTCATTTTGAGCTATAAATATCCGATCTTATTAAGGATGAACTAATTGTTCAAGACTGCCTGATTTTCAACGATTCACTAATCGATGCTTAGATTGTGATAAACATTATCTTCTGAAATCATTTTTATTTGATGATGTTCTAATCATGTGTTTCCGAATATGTTTAAAGAGTATTTTCCTCGATATAATAGGTTCATTTGTTTTCTCTATTAAGTCGGAGTTTTTTCATACTCTTTATTTACTATCTATACATGTGTATATGTTGATATACATGTAAATATTTGCATCATCTCATTATACATGTGCATGCCTATAATAGAATAATTTGTATATCATTTATTCATATTCTAATAGGCGTTGAACAAAAATCAACAAAAAGTAAGTATTGTCATTCTAACATCTTGAATTTACAAAATCAATTATAATGTGATATTGAACTGATATATCAGTCAACAGTATTTCAGTATAAATACAAATTGGTGCAAAATATAAATTGCGTCAATCATTTAAAACAGTACATAGAACTAATTTACTTTAAATCATTGTTCAATTGAATGGATCCATTTTTACATGCATTTTTTGCAGTTGATCTTGATCATGATGAAAAAATCGGTATGATTGAATTAAAGAATTATGTCGAAACAAACAATTTAGACGAAAAAATGATTGAAGTAAGTTGTTGAAAATGATTCTGTTGTATTATGAGCATTTGATAGAGTGAATGATGTTTTTTTTAAAGAATATAGTACTTAGTTGTTATTCATAAGATAGATGTTTCGTTAGTAAACGCTATTTAATGAAATATTATCGAATGCTGACTTGGAAGTAAATCAATTAACGACTAAGTATGTTGAATCGCACCAATTCATCAATTATTTGGCGATAAGAACCATCAAGATTCTTGTCATAGAGTAGTCATATTCAGTATTTTGTATTTGCTTATTGCTTAGTGCTCGTAGATCAAATGGCAGTAAAGCCACCGTTTTCAGTGACTTGAAGTCTGTAGAATAACATATATTGAAGGTAAACTTAGAATAAAGTCATATTGACTAATCAGTGGTGTCACAAATAAATGTCGACAGTTACACTAAAAATAATATTTTAAAAAATAGAAATGATATTTCTGAAAACTTCAGGGACTGTAATAAGCAATAATTACGTTTTCTTTGGGAGTTTGGTTTGAGCTACTTTAGTAAAATGTTCAAAATCCAAAATTACAGAATACAAATAGAGTTGACAAGCAACCATAGACTAAACGGTATTCAAACATCTCTCTGAACATCACATCAGTTTCACTATTCAAAATAAACATGGGAGATAATTTTGTGGTTCAATAACTGACTCCAGATAGATCGTTTGCTGCTTGTTATCAAAACATACATGCCGCCAATCCTCGTGTATAATCATCGGCTTAAATAGCGTTAGTGAATAACAAAATTAAATAAGTCAAAAACAAGAATGGATTCTTGAATCGACATTTATAGTCAGATAGAAGTAAGTAAGGACATGTAATGAATACGATAATAAGTGAACTTACATACACTCATATAAAAACAGTCAAAGTGGATAAGCGAATAATTGACAAGGTCAAAATGTGATTTAAGAAGAATGAATAGATTAGCTTCTTCGGAAGCCAAAATTAACTATGTGGGCTTAACATAGTAAACGACACTACAATAATAATGCTGACTACAATTGATATTGACAAATCAAATTCACTACAATTATGAATCCGATAATAAGCATTTCATTCGCCGGTGAAAATGACGTTTTTGATTGATGTGAGAAGGGTACAGGTCAATGGTAGGAGAGTGAAGGTATTAGAACAAATTGTCAAAGACATATCCAAACAAGGTATTTAAAATAATTATTTAAATATACGCAGCTGCTGTCTATATTTCATAAGCTGAAGAGGGATCTAGGAATGAAGGATAAATTCCAGTGATGCAATTACTTGCATTCGCACTCATTTTCTTGGTTTTTTTGGATTCACTCAGATATGTTGTATTTCGCCTGTCAGTTATTTAGTAAAAGAATCAGAATACTTGATGAAAGATTCTTGTTCTATCGAAGTTGATTGTGTTTGGTTTCTAAAATATGCAGTGCCATCGTCGATCACTTTTCAAACATTTGTAGTATTCTAAATGTATGAAAATGTGCTCTAAACAGAGTTTGTTTCATCACCCTTTCATTTAATATTTTCAATGTCTCGACCAGATAAATGACAACGTGACCATCAAATTAGATTCCTCAGACCTAATTACCGTATTTCTTAATAGGTACATTTGTAAATATCAGGCAAAATTCGAACCTTGTGATTGTTTCATCTTCTTACACAGATAACAGTGATAGTGTTTTTAAATTCAATTGAATATTTGGTTCCCTATATTAATCTCCAATCTTAGAATTATAAGAGTAAAGCTTGATATTGAAGACATTATCCGTCTGTGAATCTACATAATTAGTTTGCTAGTACATTCATCTTGTGGTTAATTAGTAATAAGAAGAATCTACAAAGACTTCAACATTATAGACTGAAAACAGTAACCATAAGTGCCTAATCTCGTCTCCAGAAACTATAGCATTTACTTTGTTCAGTGTGATTAGACATTTACTTTCTCTGATATTTTCATAAGGTCCGTCGTAAAAACAATTCTCCTTTTCTTTAGTAATTCGATATTGCCATAGAATTAAAATAGTACAGTTTTGTCTTAGGAGACCTTGAGTTTCATCTTTTTATATTATTTTCATACTTAATAGTACCAGCAGTAACTGTCTTACAAGATTTATTGCTATTTCAAAATGCTATGGACTGCTTATATCTCGTGGGGCTGAAACTTTGAAAACGTAGTTGTAATACAATCCGATTTATCAATATTTATTTCTTTTTTCAAACCTTGAAGTAGTTTAACCATAATGCAAATAAATACACCTATATTTGACATTATCTTCAAGTTCTGAAGGATTATAAATTCACCAGGTTTGACGTATATTTACATTAAAGTAAGTACTTTTGAATTCAAACAACCAAAAAATAGTTAAGTTTGTTTTCACTCCTAATGTTGACTTATTTACTAAACATGTTCAAATGGGCTGGCAGGTTTTTATAGTGTGATATTCTCTGGGTTAAATAATATGATCCTGGATCTCTAAAGAAACTATACTTTATCCTCTTCTTTGAACTTTATCCTGACGATGATGTGTAGACCCTTATGTTTAAATATAAAGCTTGCTTTGGTAGCACTCGGGGAAATCGTATTAATTTGGTTGCTAATTACGTTAAACAGTCTTAAAACATAGACAGTATGAAAATATGAAATGTTCTATGACTGTATTATTGAAGATTTAAAGTCGTGATATTTTAAAATATGCTCAGAAATGAATGTCCCCAAATGCCCTGGTATGGCTGAGAGTGAATATGTAGTGAATATATAGAATCCACGTAGTGGAGTTGGAAAACCTTGATTCCTAACCAATGGTGCACATGGGCTCTAGGATGCTGAGGGGAAATAAGGTGTGTCAGCTTATTGTTGGTTACGGGCTACCATGAAATTGTATCTCCTAACGTTCTTCTAATTCCTTGCGGATTAAATATTTAGGTCAAAGGCTCCGGGTGTACCCCCCCCTAAGAGAATCACCTGTTTCAGCTTGTGTGAACAAGCAGCATCCCAACCCTCACGCAAATCGAATGATCTATGTGGCGTATATTTATTTGGTGCCTCACTGTACCAATTTTTATGTGTTTAAACAAATAAATAAATACAGAAAGGAATATATTTATCCACCTTTCTGATATCATGATGTAAATACTTTGGCATATACAAGTTTGTAACTTCATAAATGACTAGAATTGGAATTTAAGTACCTAAATTTCAATTCTAATGAAGAAAAGTTTTTTTTCCAGGTAAAGAAGTTGAAAATCTTGAAATATGAGTTGTCAAGCTTATTGGAATGATTTAATCACCTAACAGATATCGATCATTAATAATTTTTTCTGATTAAATTGTCTGACGAGAAATCGGTTTTACAAGATCTTTTAAAAGAAGGAAAAAAAGTTTGTATTTGGAGCCTACTTTAGTCATTTGATATCGACTTTTTTTATAAAATCAAATTAGATCTATGGTGTTGTTTGTTTTAGTGAGTTTTATAATTCAACATTTTTATCTCTTACGTAATAAAATTGGATTGAATTGTTGGATATAGTTTGTTTTTTAATTAACTGTCTTCAATTTATTGATGTGTTTAAAAACCAAATATGTATCTATATAGCCACATGAATATATATATATATATATATATATATATATATATATATATATATATATATATATTACTTACGCCTGTGACACCCAATAGAGCATAGGCCACCAACCAGTATTCACCAACCCAGTCTGTCCTGGGCCTTCCTTTCTAGTTCTATCCAATTATTATCCGTTCTTCTCATATCTGTTTCCATTTCTCGGCGTAATGTGTTCTTCGGTCTCCCTCTTTTCATTTGGCCTTCAAGATTCCATGTGAGGGCTTGTCTTGTGACGCAATTGGGTGATATCCTCAAAATGTGCCAATACACTTCCAGTGCTTCTTCTACATTTCTTAGTCCACTGGATGGAATCTGGTTTGTTCTCTCCCACAGTAACTTGTTGCTGATAGTGTCTGGTCATCGGATCCGAAGTATCTTGCGTATCGTGCTGAGAATTCTATATTGTATCAGATTATAATATTGAATAAAGCCATTAATAATAATAATAATAATAATAATAATAATAGACAACTGTTAATAAACACCTATATTTTCTGGATGATAGCTCTCATATTTCTCCACGTCTCCGCCCCATACAGTAGAACTGCTTCGACATTTGTATTGATAATTCTGAACTTGGTGTTGATTGACAGTTGTTGAGTTGACTTCCAGATGTTCTACAGTTGTAAATATGTTGATCTTGCTTTGCCGATCTGCGTCCTCACATCTACATCAGATCCACAGTGTTCATTAATGATGCTGCCCACATATATAAAGATTTTCATATTCTCCAAAGCTTCTCCGTCAAGTGTGATTCGATTGGTACATGCTGTATTGTATAGGAGAATTTGGCTTTTCCCTTTATTTATATTGAGACCTACTGCTGCTGAGGCTGCTGCTGTACTGGTCATCTTCTCTTGCATTTGTTGTTACGAGTGCGATAGAAGAGCCCGATCATCTGGGAAGTCTAGATCGTCCAGCTGCCTCCTACGTGTCCAATGGATCCTGTGCTTCCCTCCAGATGATGACGTCTTCATGATTCAGTCGATCACCAGGAGAAAGAGAAAAGGTGAGAGTAAGCAACCTTACCTGTACCGGTCTTTACCTCGGACGAGTCAGTGAGTTTTCCTTCATGCACGATATGGCAGTTTAGTCCATCATAGGAGTTCCGTATGATATTGACTATCTTCTTAGGCACCCCGTAGTGTCGAAGAAACCTCCATAGTGTTGTCTTGTCCACGCTATCAAATGCTTTCTCTTAGTCGATGAAGTTGATGTACATCAATATTGATTTTTCAAAGTGATGATTTACATACATGCTGAAGTAATTTTGTTGTAGATTCTATTCAATAATTAAATGTTAATCAATTATAGTTTTCATCCAGTTTGTTAAGCTTTATTACCTAACATTTCATTAGATTTCGGAGTGTAGAGATAGTTCATTAATAGGTATTCAACACAGCTGATGAATTATAAACTACAGTTAGAAAAACACTCATGATGCGCAGTGCAAGTAGTTTCGTGATGAAAAAGTTTTACTTCTACCAAAATTGATCTGAAGCGTCAAAGTTTATTTTCTAACTACTGTTTAAATACGTGAACGATATCTCTAGCTTGGCCCAAAACACAATACATAAACATAAGTTGAGTTGCAAACACATATTCTTTGAATAAAACACTTAGTCTATGCTGTTGACATAAACTTTTAGTTGTTATGTGATCACTTTCTATCATATTCGACCCAACGAAACCTAAGATCATCAAAGTCATCGGTAAGAAAGTATAATTTTCTATTATCAATTTAGTTTTAATGAGAATACATATATGTAATTAGTATATTAACTGCTTTTTTAGGGATTAAGTGCTCAATTCATTTACCTAGTACAATGATAATATATTGATAGTACTAGTGTAGTGAACAGGAACACGACTCGGGACAAACGAATGTATTTACGCACAACATTACAGACCATCTTACTAAATTCTGATAACCATACAGCAAACAGTTAATTTGCAAAATAACAACCAATTATCTCAATCTTCACTGTTCCTTCTGTAAATATCAGTTCATCTTCTAATTCCATTGTTCATGCATTTCCCTACCAATTGCGCTTCATTTCATTTCTTTCCTTATCGGTCTTCTGCCAAAATACATTCTATGTCTGACCATTGCCATATACTATTTATATAGATATAAGTAGACCACACTACACTAGTACTTTTACCAGACTTTGACAAAATATTTCTTTTTTCCTATTACCTATAGAGATGGAGAAATTTATTTGATCCAATGCATACTGGCTACATAACACTAACAAAGTTTTGCGATGTACTAGGAGTAAAAATGGAAGACGCGTAAGTCTTTTTAATTGGAAATATTACAAATATTATGTCATTCTATTAAGTGAATGATTGAGTATCAGGAGGTTTGTCTGATAGCAAATTTTATTTTAAAATGATATCAGCTAAAAGTTACCAAACACCGCAGACAATTAGCCATCTAGTTCTTCACTAGCGTTTGATGTGTTTACAGTTCATAAAAAGTATAATCTTCATAGCTAACAACTGTAACGCTATCATTTGACTACTGAGTAAGTAGCCAATTATACTTATTTTCTAAATTGAATTAATCCATAAACAATATCGTCAATTATTGATTATCTGACATTGAGTTTGATCAATTATAAATACCAGAGTTAAAGTTAGACCTTTTTTAAAAAAAAGACATTTTAACGATGGTCAACAGTGGGAATGAATGAATATAGTAAGCGGAAGTTTTCATCATCAACTGATAATAATTTCTGTAAACCGTACAATCCTTTCATTAATTGACATTTATGAAACAAAGTGAATAAGTAAAACAATAAATTGCACAAATCATAATTTTCATTGTGAACATTAAATCAACTCTCTGTTGATTAATCCATAACATGAATAAATGATTGACTATTAAGATGGTGGAGAAGATTTGTAGCTCAGGTGGATGATTTTGATGGAGTTCTCTGAGCTGGATGGTTTGGTCGTGGAGCTTTCATCGTCCTTCTGAACGACATCATCTGCACAAACTTTGGGTATCATTTATATAAATCCTATAAAATGTACATAAAACTTAAGTATAACGATCAGTAATTTTAAGTTTTGTAGGTATTAATTCATTTCCCTTTAAAACCCATTCGTTACAGTCTATTCAGTGATATTTTATTATAAATAAGCCTTATTTTTCGATCTAATTCACATTCTAACAAGGAAAATCTAATCTATTAACTATAATAATGTTATCTAATTTAATTATTGAATATATTCATGTTTATTCAAGATGTATTTGAACATTGACTACTTTTATATTCTGAACTTTTTTCATCTCTGTTTATATGAATACAGTCGAAAGGCTAAGGATGAATTTAAAAAACGATCGGCTAACACACTTACATCCGATATCTATATTATTGCACACCAAATGAGTATCACTGATCAGATAAAAATAAGTGAACAAGCTAGATGTTTGTTGTTTCCACCTAATGATCTTGATAATAAAGAAATTGCTCATAATTTAAAATTATGGCTACATAAAATGTATGGTCCAATATGGCATGTTGTGGTAATACGTGGGGATTATGGTGCATCATATACTCATTCGGAGAACCGATCATTTCAATTTCGATTACGAGATAAATGCTTTTTAATATGGTGTACACCTGGTCAATATCAATTATGTTAAACAGTCTTTTCGATTATACTCATAACGATAAAGAAATAACTGATTAAAAACTTATTTGTAATTGTTTTTTTTAAATTGAGATTTCATTTGTATCAGTTTGTTGTACTTTAGATATTTATTTCTTATATTGACAAATTCATTGTCTTTCATAAAGACAGTAACAGATATTTTGCAAATCTTTGATTAGTTTGGAAGTGTAAACACTTGGCTCTTGACAATCTTCAGAATAAATTAAGATGTCTGAGCTGGCATCCAACGGTGTTGATGTCTAACTTCAACCCATCCACGAGGTTTGAGCAACCTTTCACCAATTGTCTTCAGTTAGTTGTTATCTCACAACAGATGTGGTTGAACTCCACTGATCACTGCTTCCCACTAGAACTCCAGGACATGTATCTTGGAGTCAGTCACTAGACATTAACACCATTGGATGCCGGCTAAGTGGTCTATCAGTTAAGTGATCTAGCGCGAGACTAGTAGGTCCTAAGTTCGAAACTCGCGAGTGCGGGATCGTGGATGCGCACTGCTGAGGAGTCCCATAATAGGACGAAACGGCCGTCCAGTGCTTCCAGGTTTTCGATGGTGGTCTAGCTTCAATTGACTCATGATTTCAACTATGAAAAATACTGAAATCTCCACAAAACCCCTTCTGATTCAAATTAAGATGTACAGATGAACTTTTGCATGACTACTTGGTTTAGATTTAATAAAATTATGTACAAATATTAACATTTAACATGGGATTATGATAAATTTTTATGACCCACTGATGATGTTAACGAAGTATACATCCCAGCTATCCACGTGTATGATTATGGACTTTTGTCGCGTTGGTGAATAACGGATTTAAATAGACCAAACGTGAGAATGAATTTTTGGATACTCATATTTCATACATTCATTTTCTCAAACAGACAATCAGAGAAACGAAGTGAAGAAGCAGAAAGGAGAAGGCGATTCGATTTGATCTAGTGTGACTCAATATTTGTAACCAGATAAAAATAAATTACAGTAATGCGATGAATAGGGTAAACAAAACACACACACATAGGATCATATAAAAACAGTCATGGTAAAAATATGACTCAAGATGAATGACTAAACTGGTCTTTCCGGAAAGACCCATATAGACTTGACATAGGTCTAAGTACTCGAAGCTTTATTGGTTATTTTTAAATGATTATTGGTGTAGATAACTGTATTATAAAAGACTCGTAGCTAAAATTTCTTTTCTTAAATATGTACTACTTTTTGGAAATTTAATGTTCAAAAGTTGGTACCAAAAAAACACGTATTTACATGGATTACATAATAAAGTTAAGGACAGGTTTATTTATTTTGTGGATCTACATTACGTTAGATAATAGCAAATAAATCATCAAAATCACTTCGAAGACTATGCAGAAAATATCGACTGATGATCAGAGACGTAATAACAATGAAAGATAATGTTGTGGTTATTTAAACCAATAATCGATTATTACTATGAATCAGAACATTATTTGATTAAATGTGATAAGTGTTTTCTTCAGAGTAAGGAATTACGTGATCGTTAAATTTTCAAGCAATCATCATCTCATTATGAATGACAACAGTATGTTGTAGATACATGGAGCTGACAAGTTTTAATTAGGTAGAAATGAATGTCTTGGATTCTACTGATAATTATATACTAAATACTGTGTAGCAGATGGAATGTTTGAAGTTTTGAATATAGATTCATTTCATCATAGTGTTTCTTGGCTTATACATTCGAACCAACTAAAAATGTATATGGGACCATGTTACTGTAATCTGTACCATAAAAACTGGGAAAGCAACAAATTAACAGTCATTCAAATGATAAAAGATCTGAAGAAGAAGAAGATAGTTTGAAACAAACAAATTAAGACGTGGAGTGAAATACTCTGAGAAAACGAAAATGTTCAAGGAATGGATGTTTATTCGTCCCTGTTTACGACTTTGTCCTTTCAGGACTGAAATGTAATTGTGGATCATAACTAAGAAATTTATAACTCCTATTTAGCCGTAAACTTCAACCACTGATTAATGGAGTAATACTATCTCTAAACGCGACATATCTTTACTTATGTTTAACTTTCTCATACGAAAGCATGAATTGCATGGTTGTTAGACAGACTAATCATATTTCATCTTTGGTTTAATCTATGACTGTAAGAGGTCTCATTAAGTGACTAGTCGAGTATGCTCGGAGCTGTCCTCTTAACTTCAACATCGATCATTTATTGCTTCTACCACTATTAAGCGATGGTCTAAAGTTATGTGTTCCTAAATAATAACAACTTACATAGATTATATTTTCACGAAAACCCTGTTTCATAAGCGTTAGCCAGTACAGAGGAAACTGCGAAGTGGTATATCCACTCGCTGACAGTAAGAAAGATATCACGACCATTTTACATTTCGCATGAGTTTACAAAAGTCAAGCAAGCATTTGTATTCACGATTTCAACAGTGAGCTATTCCATGTACTTAGTTATGTAACGTTTTGTAAGACTAAAGATTCATACAAAAATACTTTCAAAGAAAACTTCCGTGTTTATATGCATGTTATTGTCATCTTTACATAGTATTTCAAGTCTGTCAAAATCGACTAATTTTGTCAGACTTTGTCACAAAAAAATAGCTCTTCCGTCTGCTAATTCAAAGTCAGTGGGTCTATCTAAAGATATGCGATAAATCCTTAGAAAGTAAGAGTTCTTAAAATATTTTTTATCGTGAGTGATTTAGGCACAGAAAGGAAGGGTATTCATGGCTGATTGTTGCTAATATATCAGTCAGTCTAACTGATATTAGTGGACAATCATACTAAAATAAAGTTGAAGATAACCCACTGTGGTTTTCAGTTGACATTCTTTGTAGGTTATTTGTAGCCCCTACGACTTTGATAAATATTTTACCTCTGTCATCTGTCTACTGTTCTGGTTGCTGGGAGAAAATTAGAAACTGGTCAGTGTTTGAAGGTTTACAGGGATTCTAAAAATCATTTTTCAAATTTAGATCGGTTATCTGTTGGAAAACATTGACAAAACCAATGTCAACCATTTAGCGGTTAACATTAATAGCAACACAACATGTTTAAATAAAGTGAAATGGGATTAAGGAAATCAATATTGAATGAATATTGAAAACGTTTATTCAAAGAAACGGGCTAGAAACACTTGTTAGAAATATGTGCGTCAGTAAGTTTATCACTGAAACTACTTCTCTAGAAACAAGTCTTTTCCGTGGATAAGTGCATGACTTCTCAAGGAATATTTATGTTATGTTTGAATACTACTGTTTAGTAGTTTAAAGCTGACAGAGTAAAAATATTGATCTTTAAAATTTTGAACAACATATTACGATTATCGTTGAAAGCGTGAGTCAATTGAAGCTAGACCAACATGGAAAACCTGGAAACACTGGACGGCCGTTTCGTCCTATTATAGGACTCCTCAGCAGTGCGCATCCACGAACCTGCTCTCGCGAGCGAGGTTCGAACCCAGGACTTACCAGTCTCGAGCCGAAGCCCTTAACCGATGGACCGCTGAGCTGGCATCCAACGGTGTTAATGTCTAACTTCAACTGATCCACGAAGTTGAGCAACCATTCACCAATTGTCTTCAGTGAGTTCCTATCTCACAACAGACGTGGTTTTGAACTCCACTGGTCACTGCTTCTCACTAGAGCTCCTAGATATACTTCTCGAAGTCACTAGTGAGCATATGATTATATTAATTATAGAAGGGGTTTTGTGGAGATTTAGTATTTATCATCGTTGAAAGCGTGAGTCAATTGAAGCTTGACCACCATGGAAAACCACCATGGAAAACACCGTTGGATGCCAGCTCAGTGGTCTATCGGTTAAGAGCTTCGGCTCGAGATTTGTAGGTCCTGGGTTCGAATCTCGCTCGCGTAGCAGGTTCGTGGATGCGCGCTGCTGAGGAGTCCCATAATAGGACGAAACGGCCGTCCAGTGTTTCCAGGTTTTCGATGGTGGTCTAGCTTCAATTGACTCACGCTTTCAACGATGATAAATACTAAATCTCCACAAAACCCCTTCTATAATTAATATTACGATTAGTGCAGATTTACTCTGCCATGCAATTTCTTGAAAATTACTGTGACTACTAAATATAAGTAAGTACAGTAGAGTAACATTAATGAAATATGTGTAAAGGAAAAGTAAATATAATACTTGTCCTGAAAGAATTCTAACAATCTCGCTTCCCGAAGAAACAAGGATTATCAAGTTTTAAATCTATTATTTCTGTATTCATGTTACAATTATAAAAAAAAATTAAAATTAGCAACAATGTTTTACTTCACTAAGATAACTAAAGAAAGATCAGACAAGAAACATATTTAACTTCTCAAAAGCATAGAAAACCAACTGGTTGAAAATAAATTTCCGACTGTACCGAAAAGGTATGTGCATAACTTTTCCAGTAATGAATTAAATAAAGAAAAGCTTGAAGTATTAGAACTAGGTCTGTCACATCGTCTGTCAAAACAAGAGGAGAAATATGAATTGAATAAACTAATGAAGAAAGCAAATGAAGATTGTATTCACTCTCCAAAAATGGATGACAATATTACTTAAATAAACTATTTTTACATCTACTTCATTGACATCTGATAATTAGAGGGGGTTTTGTGGAGAATTTAGTATTTTCACAGTTGAAATCATGAGTCAATTGGAGCTAGACCACCATCGAAAACCTGGAAGCACTGGACGGCCGTTTCGTCCTATTATGGGACTCCTCAGCAGTGCGCATCCACGAACCCGCTCTCGCGAGCGAGATTCGACCAGGTCTGTTGTAGAGATATCATCTCACTGAAGACAATTGGTGAACGGTCGCTCAATATCGTGGATTGGTTGAAGTTAGACATTAACACCGTTGGATGCCAGCTCAGTGGTCTATCGGTTAAGGGCTTCGGCTCGAGACTGGTAGGTCCTGGGTTCGAATCTCGCTCGCGAGAGCGGGTTCGTGGAT